TCTCTCTCTCTCTCTCTCTCTCTCTCTCTCTCTCTCTCTCTCTCTCTCTCTGTGTGTGTGTGTGTGTATAAATCCAACAACTTCCATATATGTTCTTTAATGAAAGAAATTCCCAATAAAGTTTCCTTTGTTATCTAACCAAATTTTCCAGAAAAAATTTCACCAAAACAAAAATTCGTTCTGCACTTGTTTCTCCCTAGCCCTATATCGGTACTCCCTCTTCCGTTTTCCCCATGTAATCAATTACATGTGGTGGTGTTGGTTGTGATATGGCAGCGTGAAGACGACCGAAAAAGGTTATAACCCATATCTCCATTTGATAAACCATAGAATGATAAACACAAGGATACATATACTCAGATTTGGAATCAAATACAGAGCAAGAAAATCAAACCTAGATATGGAATCTCTTTCTCATTTGTTTTGAAAACGTATTCCTTGTAATCAAATACAGATAAGCATCAACGGAACATGAAGAAGACTGAAAATTGCTTGTATGACCTACTCTCTACCTTAAATCTTTCTATTGCGCCTTTCTCTTGTCACACGTACTTGAGGGCTAGAAATTAAAGGCCAGCATCGCCATGGCTGCAACAACGGTTGCCCCGTCAAGATACGGGATGAAATTTCACCATTTCCCCAATCTGATGCTCAAATTAACTACAAAAAACGAAATCATTATAGCCTCCTTATAACCAAATCCAATCTACTGGCGAATATATTATAAAAATGAACATGAAAGTAGAATGATGAACGAAAGCGAACAGAAAAGAGTCTGAAGAAAAAACACAAGAAGCGATTGGAAATTTCACACTCACACACCTATTAGTGAGTGGAAATAGTTTTCTTTTGTGTTCGATCATACAAGTTGTTGATTGTTATGGTTCTTGAAAAAAGGGAAAATGAAATCATTGACTCGTATGATCCGATCGTCGATCAACGACGTGGATCTGGTCATACGACGGTGATCGAGGGGCAACCACCATTGACACCTCGATCTCACTTGTCGGAGCCTGGTAGTAGACCTTGATGGAGAAGACGAAGAAGGTGGGTTTTGTTTTTGGACGATTAGGTGGTATACGAAGCTTCAAAGGTTAGGGATCGCAATTGGGTAGAGAGATTGTTGCATCTAGGAAGAAAGGAAGTGGAGACGGGTTGGGGGTGCAGATGGAAGAAGAGAGAGAGAGAGAGAGAGAGAGAGAGAGAGAGAGAGAGAGAGAGAGAGAGAGAGACCTTGGATATTAAATTTATTTAAAAAAATAATAATAAAATAAAAGAAAACCTCATAAAAGGTCCTTAGAAAGTTAAATGACGAAAATACCCTTCATTTAACGGTAGAAAGCTAACAGAGTTAGCAAAAAGGATCAAATATCAAAAAAATTGAAAACATTGGGACCATCTATGATGTTTTTAAACCACGATGATTAAAATTCAGATATGAGGAAACAACAGGGACAATTTATGATGTTTTTTCGAATTTTTTTTTTTGCCCAAATCAAATCTGGTAACCGACTTTATGTCAATAATCGCTTAGACATAAAAGAAAAATAAATATCTATAGCTTTTATGCAAGAAAAATAATTCCATAAAGGTAAAATGATGATAATATAATAGCTTTTATATAGTTTGATCATTTACAAAGAATAACTTTATCTCCAGAAAAGTTCAAGTCTATAGAATATTCATATATGTAAAAAATTTAGTTAATTTAGTTTTATAAAATAATCTAAGATGCTCAAGTAAATCTAAAAATTACACATCATTACTTCATTACATAATTGGTTATGTCCCTCAATACCAAGTTTCTGTAACTTTCAACTAAAGCTAAAAAAAGGAAATTTTCAAGAATACCCGCCCATCAAATGGTGTGTAAAACTTATTTAAAATCGAATCAAATTAATATCAGTTATATTTGATATGATTCTCATTTAAATTACAAATTAATAACTTTCGACTTAAAAGGCCTCCAAGTTTATTGGTTTAAGACTAAACCGGTTATTACATTGTTTCCATTTCGTTTTTATTATTTCTTACTGATAAAATTACACAAATGATCCTTATGGTTGGTAGAACATATCACTAAAAGTCTTTTTGAAGAAATTTTAATATGATTGATCTTTTTCAAACTTAAAATGTACACAGTGAGTCATTTTCTGGCAACGATGCGTCTTTTAAACCTGAAAAAAGACTAACCATATTATAAAGTCAACAAAACGACTTGGTGATATTTTCTGTCGACCACAAGGACCATTTATGTAATTTTGTCTTTCTTACATCACGGTCCGGTTCGTTTGCGTAAAATCGTAATTTCACAAATAGCCAACGCATCTCCGATCATAGGCACTGGGGAGGGCGCTGCCATGGCTTCGAAACGAACTTTTGATTTATTTTATTTCTTCTTCTTTAAGCTCCAGACTCAACAACACATCTAATAATTATTATTAGAATCTTTCACAAAAAGAAACCCAAATTCTCAATAGAACCTAACGTTAAATTCCACAAGAATTCGATTAAGCTTCGTATAAACCCTTAAAGGACGAATTCACATGCGAAAAGTAGTTGCAACTAAAGGTATCTACGTCTAAATCTGTATACGCTGTTTTTATTTTCTTATCTAATTAATTTCATCTCACCGATTTACTTGTGGGTTTGCAAGATTCTGATTGATTGAATTTTTAACTCGTTTTGTTCGTCGATTGGACTTCTAGGGTTTCAACTACCACGAATTTGTAGAAATCAGGTGTATAAAGTTTTTTTTTTAATGATTTGGATAATATTTAATCTGTGCGTATTTACTAAACCCGAGATCAGAAGTATATGTATGATTGTATTCTGATTTGGATACCCTCTAAATACTTTCCGCGTTTTAAGGATGGATATTTACTTGATGTTTATGTCGATCAAAGATTCATACTTAATAGATAGACATAGGGATTACGAACTGGGTTATCGTTGATTTGCTTCAATCGAGATCATATCGTCTTATGAGCTTAGGTGAATGCAAGAACATCTGATCGGCCTTTTGATCAAGATCAATAGAGATCGTAAATCTTCAGTGCTCAAGGGATAAATTTGTGTGCTTGTCTGAGTTTGTTCCATGTTAGATGTGATATGAAAATTGACGTATCATTCTCATAATTCATACACCATCTACTGATCATTCCTATTTCAAGGTTTTGGTAGTGTTTTAGTAATCATTCTGATGTTTTTCCATTGCAACAATCTGATCAAAACTTTCTCCTCTTTGGCTGGATTAGTTATAGAGATCTGATGAATATACTTTTTTCTTGTTTTAGGCTTATTCTATAGCAGACAAGATATTCAACTTTTGCTTTCATGTGCTTTGGCACAACAGTATTGTCATGCACAACCGTGTTGACAGGGTTTGCAACACAGATAATGCATACAAACTGGTGCAATGGCATCATCTGGTAAATTTGATCTTTCATCTAGTAGCAGTCCAGGTAGACCATTATATACTTCCGGGAAACGTGGGTCCCATACAGCTCCATCAATGGAGAGATCAACCAGTTTCCGTGAAAACATTGAAAATCCAATCCTATCTTCTCTTCCAAGCATGTCAAGAAGCACTGTAAATGTAAGTCAAGGGGAAGTGACTAATTTCTTTCAATGCTTGCGGTTTGACCTTAAGTCAATGGCTGCTGAATATAAATGTAATCGATTTGGGGATTTCAAAAGACTTGCAAGTGCTGCACTTTGTGCACCAGATGATTCACCTTCTGGTTTGTTAAAAGGCAAGTTTCCATCTTCATCACCTGAGAATATCAAAAGACTTAAAGTTGGTTTGCGTGAATCAACCATCAAAGCCAGGTGAATTTCTTTTATGGCTATTTTGTTTGTTTCCAGGGGTGTAAAGTGTAAACTGTAAACTGTAAATTTATTCAGTTTCAATATATTTTGTTCACTTGATAGGGAGAGAGTGAAGATTTTTAGTGATGTATTGTCAGTAATGAACAAGTGTTTTCCAAGTATACCCTCGAGGAAAAGATCTCGACCAGATGCTTTTTCTGTTGGCAAGATGGGTACCACTAGTGGTTTTGAGTATGAGCAACAGAAGGTTGAAGAGAGGGGCAAAAATGTCGTTCCCAATAAACGAACCAGAACTTCTATGGTGGATCAAAGGGTTTGTATCTTGTATCTTTTACATGTGTTTCCTATAATTGTGTTTGGTTTTTGAATTTTTTTTTTATGTTGTTTTGGGAATTGTAGGCAGATGTGCGACCAAACACTCCTGCTAGATCATCTGGATCTGTAGATAGGGAAAGAGAAGTTCTAAGACTTCCCAATACTAATGTTCTTCAAGGTGAGGAAAGAGTAATTCCAGTTGTAGCGGATGGATGGGAAAAAGCTAAAATGAAGAAGAAACGCACTGGAATGAAAGCTGATGCTACTCTAAGTGCAAGCTCAGTGTCAGCGAAACCTATTGATGGAATCAGGGATTCCAGGGTTCACCCAAGGAGTCTTCTTGATGCTAGGTCAAGGTTAAATGATTCCCATGGGTTCAGGTAAAAGGATACTTAATATCTGTAAAAGGGTTCTAAATCTTTCCATTATTTCCACATACTTAAACTCAATTACTTACCAATTCCAATGAAATGTACAAGATAATAACTCTGATTCCATTCCAATTCATATTGTGACATAGGCCAGGAGCTGTGAATGTGAGAGAAGACTTCATTTCTGGTAGTTCCTCTTCTACCCCTAAATTGCATGCAACTGCACGAGGTCCAAGATCAGGGACAGGTGGCATACCTAAACTGCCACATGGACAAAGGGCAACTGTTTCTAATAACATGGAGTCACAGTCACAGGCACAGTCACCACATGGTACAAGTAAGAACCCTAGTGCCATGGGCCCCACCAATCGTAAACGTACTCTATCAACACCAACACAGTCATCATCGCCACCTGTCGCCCAGTGGGCTGAGAGGAGGCCTCAGAAGATCTCACGTACTGCAAGGAGAACGAATCTTGTCCCTGTTGTATCCAATGATGACGTGTCAACTTTGGGTAATAGTGATGCAACTGTTAGTGAAAAAAGACGAGGGTTTGCAAAAAGATTTCCTAAGCAGTTCAAGTCAAAGGTTGACCATACGTTATCAGAAAGTGAGGAGTCAGGGGCTGCTGAAGTAAGTGAAGAGAAAGGTGGATCGAGTGTTCAAAAGATGTCTAATTTAGTCCTTTCAACAAGAAAGAATAAGTTCATGACTGGTTTTGCTTCTGCAATATCTATTGGAACAGCAAAACAACTTAAAAGTGGAAGACTTGGTGTTGATAAGCCTGAAAGGTTTTTTTCTTTTTACATTTATATATCAATACATCATCTCTATAAATCTTTTAACTTTTTTTCATGTTCATATTTTATGAAATATTCACAGTAAAATAGGCCGGCCTCCCACAAGGAAACTCTCAGGTCGGAAAGCTTATATGAGACAAAAGCATTCATCCATTACTACCCCTACGGATTTTCTTGGTATATGAAATGTTGACTATTTAATTACTATCATAGTTTTTTTTTTTTTTTTTTTTTTGTTCCTCTTTTAACCATGGTTAATTTCTATTAGTTACTTCAGATGATGGGAATGGAGAGCTTTTGGCTGCTGCAAATGCTGTTATCAATCCTAATCCTGGTACTGTTTTGTAGTAGTTTTAATTTTAACCATGGTTAGTTTCTATTAGTACTTTTAACCATGGTTAGTTTGTAATAGATGGATTGGTAAATTGTAATTGCAGGTTTTGTTTCATCCAGTCCTTTTTGGAGTCAGATGGATCGACTTTTTGGTTTTGTATATGATGCTGATGTGGCCTACATAAAGCAAGAGGTGATTGTTCTTTTTTAGGTCTGTAATATATAACATGAATCCTGTCTCATCAGTTATTATCAATGAAACTTCAACTCTCTTTAACTTTTCAACAGGGAAGTATACGATCTACTGTTAACACTGCAAATTCAATAGATTATTGTGATACACACTCGAATGGAAGTTTTGAACCTCCAAAAACTGAAACAGAATGCAGTAGTGAATCCTCAGAACATGTAATGTCTGGAACTTCCCTCTGTCAGAGGCTTCTTGCTGCTCTAATTTCTGAAGAAGATGACAATGATTACACCTGGCATGGAAATGATGTTTATGAATCTGCATTTGAGCCTGAAACAGATGGAAGTTTTTTAAGCAGTTACAGGATGGATTCACCATTAAGAGATACAGGCTTTGATGATTGCTACAAGGGTCTACTAGTTTCAGAACCTACTGTTGTAACATGTTCTCAATATCAGTATGGAAACATGTCCATGGATGAAAGACTTCTCATGGAGATTCATAGTCTTGGACTCTATCCATCACCTGTGGTAGGTGTCTAATGTATTTTTCTCCTGTTCACATGCATTTTTTCTCTCTTGAATAATTTATTTACCTAAATTTTTTGCACTTCAGCCGGATTTAGTACAGACTGGAGATGAAGATGTCAGCATAGATATCCGCAGGCTGGAAGAAAAACATCACCAACAGGTAAAAAATTGTTGAATATCATGAAGTTTGTTTTTTGGGATGTAAGGGTAAAATGGTCATTTTAGTCTCTTTGAGACTGTTTATTCAGTCTAGAGAAGAAACAGACCTAATATAATTGAGTTACAGGTTTCCAGAAAGAAAAGTCTACTCAACAAGCTTTTAAAGTCTACTGAGGAAGCAAGGGTGTTACATGAGAAGTAAGTGTTTTCTTTAATGGTTTCTTGGTTGACTTTGACTTTGACTTTGACTTTGACTTTTATGATTCTTATCCAAACATTTTCTTGTAGGGAATTCGAACAACTTTCTCTTGAAAAGCTCACAAGAATCGCTTATCATAAATACATGGTAATGTATAAGTGCATGATTATAGAATCTTTAATAACAAAAGCTTTTAATTTTGAATACCCTTTTTCATGTGCAGAATTGTTGGGGTCCAAATGCACCCGGGGGTAAAGGTGTCAATGGAAAAATGGCTAAGCAGCTTGCTTTAGAGTGTGTGAAACGGACATTAGAGAGATGTCATGAATTTGAAACAACTGGAAAAAGCTGCTTCTCTGAGCCTTTATTTATGGACATGTTCCTATCTGGATTATCACACTATAATGATAATAACACACAACAAAGCCCCTCGTTGACCAACTTTGACTCGTATCCACCCGATACACTAAACCATTCATCTGATCAAGGTAAAGAGGATGACGTCTGGCCAATCAGGGGTAAGAAGCGGGAATTATACCTTGATGACGTGGCGGGTACACCTACATCATCTGGAAAAGGAAAGAGGAGTGATAGGGAAAGGGAAAGGGAAGGGAAAGGGAATGGAATCAGAAATGGAGGTCCTAAAATCGGGCGACCCACGGTATCTGGGAACGGTGAAAGAAAGAGTAAAGCAAAGATAAAACAGAAAACAAGTCAGGTATCTTCAGTTCCGATTCCGGTTCCAGTTCCGATTCCGATTCCGATTCCGAAGGTCGAGGAAAAGGAAAAGAATGAGTGTATGTTATTGTTAGAGGATCCACTTGATTTGTCCCACCTTCAGCTCCCCGAGTTTGATGTGGATGTGGGACAAGGGCAGGACATAGGTTCATGGTTGAACATTGGAGATGAGGTGTTACAAGATGATGACTTTTTGGGACTTGAGATTCCAATGGATGATTTAACAGATTTGAATATGATGGTTTGAAAAGGTTGTTGTTATGTTGTATAGATGATATATCGAGTATACTAGTTACAGTCACAGTCACAGTTACAGATAACCTGTCGAGTCGGTGTTTTTACTTTTTAGGGTATGATTCTTTTGAAAAGGCGTGGAAAAGTGAGAGGTGTTTAAGATAGGGAGTTAAGTTAGGTTGTAAAAATCTTTTTTGCTACCTATATATAAGTGTATTATGGTTGTAGCATTTAGTGATTAGGGCACAATGGCTCTTTCTTGTACATGCAAATTACGTTTCTAATAAGATCAATTCATTTATAAGGCATACTAAAAGACATGTTCTAATGTTTGATGGTTTATATACTTGTTCTTTTCTTCTAAAATTTGTAGTATCTTTTCTTTCTTTTATTATTGGAGGTGTGTAGCAGCTTATATAATGAACCCTTTTAAATGCATAAGTAAAAGTGAGATCACTAGGAAGAGATGTGGTATGTATGATGTATCATTCATCATCATGATCAATCCATTGATTGGTGCCTATGTTGATACTCATTTAAAGTGAGCTACATTACTTGGTGGTGGTTTTGTGAATAATAGACATGGTCACATGGCTGATTGGTTTTCTAGTTGTCTGAAATTGTTTTTTGATGGTTTGTGAAGTTGTTTTTAGTTTTTCTTTTCTCCAAAGGTTGAGCTTGTTTAATTGAAAGGTAATGCAAATGTATTTCTAAGCTTAATGTGCAAAACAAAGTTCTTATATTATGTGCTTATTAACAATAAAGTCATAACTCTATTTTTTTTAATAGAATGACAAAATCCAGACAATTGTTTACAAAACAAAAAATGACAAGAAACCTATAATCATTTATATATTTTGGATTTTAATCGGTAATCTTCATGAAAGTCCTTATATTTGCACTCATTAACGATAAAGTCATTTTTTTAAACAGATTAGGACAATTTTTTAATCAATGTAATTTTTATTTTTAATATGTAATATTTGGTTTATTATATTTTTACTTTCAGTTTTAAACCTTATTATTTTTTTAATCTCAAATTAGTAAGTTTATTAAATAACTGAAAAGTAATAACTTGATAACATGGAGTGGTGATTATCCTATAATTAGATATATAGCCTAAATGCCCTTATAAGAGTTTTGTTTAATTGAATCAAAAGTTTTGTTTAACGTGAAATAAGAATTCATAACGAATGCAAGTTCATAGACCAAAAAAAAGGAAAAGAACAACTCCAATCCAAATGTTTAACTTGATTATTTGTCGTCTTTCATTTCGAAGATACACAAAACAACGATTTCAGACCTATAACTTGTCAAATACAAAGCAGACTCATGAGAAAAAAAGTGAGGTGACTTTCAATCAAAAACCTTTCCCTGGAAGAACAGGAATGCTCTGTTCATGTCTAAAGAAGTTATCAGGATCAAACTCCGTCTTCGCCTTCACCAACCTCATGAAATTATCTTTAAAATACCTTCTTCCCCATGAACTTGCCTTCTCAAAGCTCGTATTATCGCCATTCTTGTCGTTCATTCCAAGATCAAGATCTCTGTAATTCACATAAGCTTCTCTTGGATCCATCGAAACATACTGACCCATGTATTTGTAAAACTTCCTGATCCACTTATAGTGCTTCTTCATTGCTTCTTTTTCCGGCACCGACCAAATGTTCACATACTGAATCTTGAAAAGCACACCGTTTCTGTGAGGAAACGGCGTTGATGATTCCGAAATCCTCCCCATCAGTCCTCCATATGGATTCCAGATCATTAATGGGTTTTCTTCTTTTAGTAACCTTTTCCAAATCCCCTCCAATCCAGTTTCTGGAATTGGGTGTTTCACAAAATCTGATTTTGCTTTGAAGTAGTTCAAGAAAGCTGGTTTTCCGGTGAGGAGGAAGGTGGTCGGTACGGTGGTGGGATACCCGGCAATGAACATGACCGATTCCAGCCAACTCATTTCGGAACAATCGGTTTTCTTCAGACCAAGTTCGGGAAAACTACTGTTCATAATATCCAGAAGCCGGTCAACTCCTCCAAGAAAGAGTGCATTATAAGTTGTACTTATGGTTCTTTTAGTTGTACCTGAAATATCCATGGGGTTAATCACAACTCTGACAAAAAGATCATCATCAAAGTTTGGTGCCACTTGTTGCCATTTGTAAAGAATCTTGGTAGCACCTTGTTCCAATGTTTTTTGAACATCGAAAACCGTAACAATGGCAGGGACAGGTACGAGTTTTAGTTTCCAAGAAAGTATAACTCCGTAATTGCCTCCACCACCTCCACTGATTGCCCAAAAAACGTCCTCGCCCATGGAAACCCTATCCAGGATTTTTCCATTCGCGTTGACGATTTTCGCGTCTAATGCGTTATCCACCCCTAGTCCGTATTTCCTCATCATGGACCCGTACGCGCCGCCGGTGATATGCCCACCAACGCCTAGGCTCGTGCAAAGCCCTGCAGCGATCCCATGCATACTGCTCTTCTCAGCAACTCGATAATACAGTTCACCAACAGTCGCACCAGCTTCGACCCAAACGGAATTGTCATCAAGATCAACGTTCACGTCTCGCATTTTTGACATATCAATCATAACAAAAGGCGGGTCCATAGCGGAAGTGAAAGATATTCCTTCGTAATCATGACCACCGCTTCTGAACCGCAAATGAATGCCTAGTTTTTTCGCACAGATAACCGCGGTTTGGATATCGTATTCGTTCAACGGGGTGAAAATAGCTTGGGGTTTTGGATACGAAGGTGTTAAGCAACGAAGATTTTGGGCGGTGGAGTTGAGGAGGGTTGTGAAGTTAGGGTTGTTAGGGGTGAAGAAAGTGTCGGGGACTTGAATGGTAGAAAGGCATTGATCGAAAGTTTGTTGAATTTGTATTGAAAATGAAAAATGAGCAAATGAAAGTATTACAAGTAATTCAAGAAATCTAGAGAGGAGAAAAGAAGACATTTTTATGATGTCTAATGAGTGTGTGTGAGGTTCAAAGGAGAAAGGGGGTCAAACATATATATTTGAATCTTGGTTGACCAAAATGTATGCACATGCCATGCATATGATGCAATATGGTATTATTGCAAATTAAGAATTGTGTTAGTTAGAGATGTGGAAAAAATTAACCATTTTAACAATTTCTGGCTATTTTATTTGATGCATTATATATAGAATAATTGTATTTTTACGTAAGGTGTGTAATAAAAATATTTAAAATCAAATTTTAAATACATGTGTTATAATTTATAACAAAATAATTCATCATATCACATAAATTTAAATTTGATTTATTATTAACAACTTTTTGTTTGATAACCAGATTTTTATCTAATTATAAAATTCTACCATAGTCTTTTTAAACATTGCTTTTGAAAGAAAGTTTTTAAGTATAGATAACTATAAAATATGCTATTGTACAATCAATTTGCCAATAACAGGAACCTAAATATTATAGTACTTGCTAATCCCATTACAGTTTTAACTGGCGTTTGTAATATACTTCAACATTAATTTGAGACAAAATTTCAAGGTTTGTCCAAGTTCTTCTAAATACTATATTACTATGTTATTGTCTCTTTTAAAAAAAAATAGAGTAGATTTCTTGATTGCCTTTAC